TACACACATCAATTGTGTAAAGCGCATTTGTACATCGTTTCTCAAAACATTTTCTCTCCATTTAAACCCCCGACATTAGGTCCTCTAGTAAGACATTCTTAAACCCAAACAGAAAGTTCTCTGTATGTTCCTTGGTAAATTCCACATCCACCACTCAGAGAATTCTGGATTTTAACTCCAGGACAAGACCTTTGCCTTCTACCATACGCCCTTGACACTATTTATGCAAGCCTGGGTGGTTTAGGCATCGGTCTGCTAACTACAGAGTCAGCAGCTCAAAATCACCAGCCTCGGGAGAAAGACTATCTGCTCCCGAAAAAGATTGATAGCCATGAGAACCAGAAGAACCAGTTCTCTGTCCTACAGAGGTGTGACGAGTTGGAATATCCACTCAATGGGGGGGTGGGGGGGTGTCTGAGGGTTTTTTCTTTTGAGGGGGGAGCAAATGCAAATATGTTAAACGCATCTTGTATATCAAATCTTCAGGATTAGAAAAATATTCTGATCAATACAAGACCGGTTTTGTCAAAACAAAATGAGCAAAGAGGAAAGCAACCTTTTCAGGATACCCTTACCTCTCTGCTAATCATGTTTCCGAATGTACTCTTTCCTTTGCCCTTCAGTGTCATTCCAGTCTGTGTCCCTTGCTTCAGCATATCTAGAACCCAGATATCGTTCCCTCCTCTAGCCCAAGGTGGTAACCCTTTCACTTGTGTTGAAGTCTAAGGCATATGCAGATTGCCCCTGTCTTTTCTTCAACCCTTAAATTACAGTCCATCTTTATATTAATGGGATAATTGCTCACGTGCATCTTCTTTTACCTAGTAGGGCTGCCTGTTCTGCAGAAAATAACATCAGTAAAACATCAATGTTTAAATCTTTTTATCTAAAATATATATAAGTCCTCATTGTAGATGTCTTGTAAAATTCTCTGAACACCCTCCCATTTCACCCCTTTCTTTAAGTGTTTTTGGAAAAGAAAAAGACGTGGGTGTTCACACCTAAAGCTGTAGTAACATTCGGGTGCACTTCCTTCCAGTGCTTTTTCTTCTCTGTATATTTGATCAGACTGTGTGTGAGCATATGCACACACTTACACACTCTCACTCACACACACACACACACACACTCACACTCAGTCACCTTATATCCTGCTTTCTCCCTTCCAAACTCCAAACCAAATGCACTGTCATTTAGTCAGTTCTGGCTCCCAGGGAGCTGGGTGGGTGTCAAAGACAGTCATTGTTTAAGGAAGTAGGAAGTCCAGTCTTTGTCTCTCAGTGTTGGTGATTTCCAAATGCAGACCTGGCAGGATCCTGCCCAATGTATAACCACTACACCGCCAGGGCTTATTTCTCCCTTAATAATAGAACGTAAAATCCTTTATCCAACATGTAACACCATGTTAAGGTGCTTTACACATGGAGATGCTAATCTCAAAGTCAACAGTTCGGAACCACCAGCCTCTCCTTGGGAGAAAGATGAGGCTTTCTACTCCCGTAAAGAGTTACAGTCTCAGAAACCCAGAGGGCGGTCTACCCTGTCCCAGAGGGTGGCTAAGAGTTGGAATTGACTCCGTGGCAATGAGTTGATTTTCTCTCAACTACTAAAATTTAGATTGTTTACAAAAATTGACTCTTAAACTTAAGGCCACAGCAAAAACTTTGAGGTGTGTGGCGTCCTCAAAATATTTCCTTGAAATAGAGAATCAGGAATCAGTTTATCGGGTCCAAAGGTATATTAG